ATGAGTACCATTCCCGCTGATGAAGTGTCTTCCATCTGTCAATTTTTATACGTCGTGCTTTCACCAAAGTTCGTATTTTTCCACCATAAATTTCATCCTAAATATTTCAGTTTGAGTTTCAATCGGCATTGTTCTTCGGCCGCGTTAGTATAGAAAATTAATTGCCTTTGAGAAATCTCTTTTGCCATGAGAAGATATTGCAAAGATGTAAGTACCATGTCTGTTTGTTTAGTATTTCTCAAAAATCGATTTGTACGTGTTATTAAGCAAAATGCCATAACTCAAATAGCACAAGAAAGTTGTCAGATAAATCATAGTTTCTGCAATTCTGTTGAATTGGACCATTCCTGATTCAAACCTAAATGAAAACATTTGGGGTCAAATAAAGTAGACCGAACCTTATACTCAAAACATGCCAACAACGTCTGAATACTAAAACTAAATACTAAAAAGGAATTAATCATAAATAAAAAAAGCTTTAACAAAATTGCAAAAGTCATCATATCATAATTATGTATTATCAGATGTGGCAAATCTGTGTTAGAAAGTCATCTCTTACCTCTGAGTAGGACTTTTACCATATAAAATGACATAAACCTTGCAAATTATCTCATTTTGTATTGAATTTAAACTTAAAATTTCTTGAGTTTAATACATTTCAAAAGTTAATATCAAGATTGAATCTGTGTACTGACTGTTAAAAAAGGAGAATCAAAATAAATATCAACACTCATACTTTTCCTGGGGGAGATGATTCGTTAATTTCTTCAGAGAATAATTACCTTTTTATTTAAATTTTACAAAAATTTATGAGAATGTCCCAGTTTATGAGATTAATTTATTAATTTATCCCTCTGAAAAAATTCCAACCTTTTTGGTATGATGCTGTAAACAAATTGGGATAAACATGAATCTCTCTATTTTCAAAACTAACAGTTGTCCTTGATGGTACTTCTTTACTTTTTGGATCACTTGAGATAAGGCTCAAGTGAGGTTTTCTGATCGAAAGGGTGTCCAACTGCCGTGTGTCGTCTGTAAATTTTTCTAATTTTCGACCTTTTCTCAAGAACCACTGAACCAATTTCAACCAAACTTGATACAAAGCATCCGTGGGTAGTCCCGTAGCAATGGTTTCAAAAGTGGGGGGGGGGGCGAGGGGGAGGGGAACTTCCCAAAAAATCTAACAAGCAAAAAAAAAAAATAAAAAAATAAAAAAATAAAATGAGCAAAAGTGGGGGGGGGGCAACTTCCCAAAAGTATCTGACAAGCAAAAGAAAAAAAAATTAATTTACTGCCAAAGTCCTTTAATTTGTCTGTGCTCGACCTTAAAACAACAAAAAAATGTGAGGGGGGGGGGGGGGCAATTTGCATCTAAAGGAAAATTTACTATAGCAAAATACTATACTCAGAAAAAAGTGAACCCCACCCCCACCCTGCGTTCTGGTGGGTGACAGATTATGCCCCCTTTCGAGGAAAATAATTAAGAAATAGAAAAAATTAATGACAACTTTTAAAAATCTTCTCAAGAACCAATGGGCCAGCAAAGATGAAACTTATGTGAAATTTTCATTACATAGTGAAGATTCAATTTTATTCAACTCATGACCCCCCCCCCCCCCCCAAAGGCTAGAACGGAGCCACAATAGACGATCTTTACAAATCTTCTCAAGAACAGCAGAGCCATGACAATTAGACCTATATATCAATGTGAAGCATCCTAAGGTAGTATAGATTCAGCTTTGTTCAAATTATGGTTCCTGGAGCTAGGGTGGTGTCACAATAGGCGATCAAAGTTTTACTTATGAAAAAAAAAATTAATAATCTTCTATTTTGAATAACTTCGAGAGAATATGCTAGACTAAATATGAAAGGAAAGACCTCAAAATTCTGTCAGAATTGACAAATTAGAGTTTAAGAAGTATATCAAAGAATCGCATTAGACAATGAACCAATTGTCTCCATGTACTTCCGCTTTCAGTAAACCAGAATTAAGTGATACACAGATATAGGAATTTGAAAGACTACTAAAAATGGTATGGATCCACCCACAGGCCTTTAGATCGCTTTTACAAAAAAAAAAAATAAGTGTTAAAAAAATATCTTTATTATACATCCCATTTTTTAAAAGTCGAATTTAAGCGATCCAAAGGCCTGTGGATCCACCTACGCCTGGAGCAGCTTGTAGCAGTATATATAGTCCTGGTACATAAGGTTTATTTTAGAAGTTAGATATACAGTAATTCACAAAATCTTTTTCTCACAGTTCCTTTTCAAAGGATGAAATTCTTCAAAATCAACTTTCAGTTTTAAATACTTTTAACGCACTCGCTGTTGGAAAACTGAAGGGCATTAATTTTTAGCCGACGTGTTGATATTCTTATGAAAAGAAATTGTACAAAAAAATTCTGCAAATGAAGAAAACTCTTGCTGTGGCTTTCAACATTTTGTTATATCTTCAGGGAATAGGAAGAAAAATTATGTATTATCACCAAAAAAAAAAAAAAAAAAAAAAAAAAAAATACAAGGATATATACAGAGAATAAGAAGATAGGAAGAGAAATTATTTATTGTCACAACATACAATAAAAAAAAAAATACGAGGAATACATGAAAATAATATTTAGTGCCATACTTATTTAAATTCACATTACACATTAAACACATATTAAATAGTTTTATACACTTTGGCCCTATATATTTTTTATCACAGAAATTTTCACATTACATTACAATATCCTAGGTTTATTAAATGTAGGTTTCAAATGATATTTTTAGAACAAATTGTACACATTTAAAAAAAAAAATGATTTTTAAAGATGTCATATACTCATATATTCTGTATGTGCCTTTTTATAAAAATACAGAAATATAAAAAGCTAATTTCACGATTTTTGATTTTGAGTGTATTTAGACAGACATAGAAAAACGCATAATACGCAAATACATAATCCTGAAGTGAAACCAAACCAAGCGCCAATGACTTTCCACAATGAGTGGAAAGCGCGCCAAACTCAATCTTGTTTTCAGTCACATGCACAAAAATGTAAACACGTGTATGAAGCGTCGTCAAACCTCGAGTGTTTCCGGTGACTCCTCGGGCTCATCAAATAATGAGTGGAAACGAGAATCTGCGGAATTAGCCGAGGTATATACGAATGCCATCCACCCGTGACCTCTTGTGTAATCCACTGACAACCTATAAAGCAGTTCGTACGTTGATCTCTGACGGGGTGGCGCATTTTTGAGTCTGAGGTATGGCTTTATGTTTTCTGTAGTATTAGGCTAATAAATAACGTTGTTGTTTGATCACTCAGTAATGCAGTAAGCTTTAATTACCAAATGCATGCATTCACCTGTTTTTTTTTAAATATGCAGATGACTGAGATGTAAATTAGGAATTTTAGGTCTATTATCTATATCTAGGCCTATCATTCATTTGAATGGTCTTACATATCATGTATACGTTGTCAAGTGACGAAAAACTGCTTAGTAGGAGTTAGTTGATATTCACGAATGCAGATAGTTCTTAATCGTAGATCTATACATGTTATACTTTGCTATTTATAAACCTTATGAAACTATCATGACACTATACTTGTGTGAAACTCTATGAATCTGATTCTCTTCCATATCCATAGCTACTTTTATTTGCCAACATATCAAATGCCTGAGTTCAAAGTCATAATAATTATATATCTTTGAATCACCTGCGAATTTTTTTCTTTTGTTGGAAACATATCAAGGCCAGAGAACTCTAACCTGGTGTTTCACATGAGGTTATGTGGTGCAGATCAAAATTGTTTGACTCACAGACCCATCTTTTAAAATGTCCTTGGCCTGTCTGTGAAATCAGGCATGTATCCGCTACCTTTGAAGGTCGCCTAATACATTTATTAAAAAAAAATGTCAGGGGCTTATGCAACCACCAATTTTCTTCTAAAATTTAACCTATCAAGTGAACCGTAGTTCTGCAGGCAGTGTCTTCTATCGTATGTAAACATTTTAGTGTATATATATTTCAAGCTTTTTTGGAGAATTATGTCTAATTTTCAAGCAGAAGATAACATACCTTAAAAGTACTTGGTAATCCAGTTATGTTGAAGCAGTTGATTATATAGAATTAATAGTTTTAATGAGTGTGTTCTTATTTTGGGTGAACCTTATTTCGCATACATTTGATACTAGGTAAAGAACATTAAAGGAATTTGCTAATTATATTTTTATTACATATCTTAAATAAAATTCTCATCAATTTTCTTCTTTCACTAGTAAAGCACGAGTTTTTACCAAACAATACCATATACACGGTACATGTATACACATGTATAAACAAAAGCAGATTTAACAATTCTATTATAATCTGATTCTTGTGCATGTCATGTGATTAAAAGTAAATGATATAATATAGCTTCATTAATGCTTTGCAGTAAAAAAGTACATGCAGAAGTAAGTTTTTGTATTATTATACAGAACTTAAAAAAGAAGTCAAAAGTGTGTTGAGTGCCTTTCAAATAATTATTTTCCAGCACTAATTTTACTTTTATTGTTTAAAATTTCAAAACAATAAAAAAAAAACTTTCGACATATTATATACATGTATTAATCTGTGAATATTATACATTTATTGACTGGGTTCAAGGGCAACGTGAATTGATGAACCCAACCAAACTGTTTGCCTGAGGCCATTTGATTCGAGGGGTCGACAAAACGCAATTGCCCAAGAACATAGTCAATAGATGTTTTGTTATCCCTTTTATTTATTTATTTTGTATTTTTTGACATACATGTAATTGTGTGCTGGCTTCCATAATGTAAATTTCCTTTACCCACACTGTGGGTAACGGCCTCAGGTAAACAGTTTGATTCTTGGGTCCGACAAAACGCATGTTGCCCTCGAACCCAGTCAATAAATGTATAATATTAATTTCAATTAAACCATAACATCCATCACTCTGTGTTATTATTTAACTCAATTTGCTTGTCACTGTTTTTACAGGTGTGAATGTCACTGAATTATCAGAAAGGGTCATGTCTAAAACAAAAGTAAATGGAGTCCACACCGTGGACTTCACAAATCAGTCCTCCATCATGGAGACCAGAGGATCCGTCATCAGTGGTCACAGTGTGGTGTACTCAGTGGACGTAAGGAAGGGACCGTGTTGCTGTGGACAAGTCACAAAGAAACAGATCCTAAAGGGAGTGGAGTAAGTAGTCATTGTGAGTGGAGAAAGTGGTCATTATGAGTGGAGTAAGTGGTCATTATGAGTGGAGTAGTGGTCATTATGAGTGGAGTAAGTGGTCATTATGAGTGGAGTAAGTGGTCATTATGAGTGGAGTTAGTGGTCATAATGAGTGGAGTTAGTGGTCATTGTGAGTGGAGTAAGTGGTCATTATGAGTGGAGTAAGTGGTCATTCTGAGGAGTAAGTGATCATTATGAGTGGAGTTAGTGGTCATTATGAGTGAAGTAAGTGGTCATTATAAGTGGAGTAAGTATGAGTGGAGTAGGTGGTCATTATGAGTGGAGTAAGTGGTCATTATGAGTGGAGTAAGTGGCCATTATGAGTGGAGTAAATGGTCATTGTTAGTGGAATATGTGGTCATTATGAGTGGAATAAGTGATCATTATTCAGAAGTTCCAGACAAAACAGATAACCAGCTCACTAGCTCCTTAGGTTCCCTGCAAAGATTACAGGGTGGATGAGTATTGGATGAGTAATGGCCGGAGTATTGCCAATTTTCATCTGTATAGCTTCGCATTTGTTCATTCATCCCCACTTTATGCATGCATTGTATAGTCATTAAAAAAATAAAAAAAATTGGGTAATAAAAAAATAAGTAACTTTTTACTTTATAAAAAGATAACTTTTCAGTGAAACCTGAAAATGTGTATTTTATTATTGCCATTATACATTGTAGCTGTATATTCAAACCAGGAATGAATGCCATTTTGGGACCAACAGGAAGTGGAAAGTCCTCGTAAGTATGCTTGAACCTTGGTTTAATTATGTAATTGGGTTTTGTGAATATATACACATGAACTTTATGTCACTCACTTTGTACAGAAAATTCTCAAATTCTGAGAGGAATTAATTAAAAGGAAATTTAGCAGAAAGTTTTTAGCTCCTATGTCAAATAAGTAGGAGGAAGATAATGGGAAGTAGGAATTGGTATTCAATTAAAAAAATAAAACATTGTAAGATTGTAAATGTTAATGTCTTATGTCTTTTAATTTGCACAATTAATCAAATTGAAAATGAAGAAGAAGGTGTGGAAGCAATTAATAGCTCATTACTTCAACATTATATTTCTCTTATGATCTATGTGTGTCCTGATGAAATTTATGATCTTTTTCTCTACAGACTTCTTGATGTGTTGGCCGGTAGAAAGGACCCCAGTGGACTAGAAGGAGAGATTCTGTTCGATGGAGTTCCTCCCCCTGAAAATTTTAAATGCATGGTTGGATATGTTGTACAAGTGAGTGTTTTATTATCGATGCTGGTTTTTAGAGGTGTAACGATACAGCAATACATCGATCCTATTGATTGCAAGGGCTCACCATACACGTATCGTATTGCCATATATTACATTTTCAGCAGTGAAATACTGTGATTTATTTATTGAATAAAAGTGACATTCTGTCCCAGTGTGAAAGGATACCAAAGTGATATTCTCTCACAGAATGAAAGGATACCAAAGTGATATTCTCTCACAGTGTGAAAGGATACCAAAATGATATTCTCTCACAGTGTGAAAGGATATCAAGTAAGTAAAAGATAATTTCTGGTCTGTAATAAGATAGAGATAGTAACTAAAACATCTTGAGAGAGACTAAAATTGCCAATATCTTCCCAAGTATGTTACAATGTTTTCAATCGCACAACTGCTAAGCTATGACTTCTCCACAGCCTATGGCACTGTGTTAAGAAAAGACAGAGGCAAAGGGAAAAAAAGAAAATGTAATAATCAGAAAATTCAATGATTTGTAGCAGGATAGGGAATTTATTTCACTTGTGAGACAGGATCTTTTGATATTTTCACTCGTATCAAAAAATCCTGTCCCACATGTGAAATAAATTCAATATCAAACTACAAAACATTGAATATCCTCTATGTGTATATCGTGATATAGTACAAGATAATTTTCATTGTTTTGTTTCTACATACATGTACAACCTAAAAATTTTTACAGTTTTAAAATGGCTGAAAAAAAGGTAACGAAGAACAAAATAGAATGTCAAGACTATAAATCCACCTTTTATTAACTTTGGTCAGGGGTATCAAGATATTCTTTTTATATTTTCTATAACTGTGGAGGTTAGCGAAGAATAATATGTTAAGATATCGTTTAATTCAATTGTTTACAGCTGTATCATGATACATGTTGTATCGAATGACCGTATCATATTGTTAGGTAGCTTGCAATACTCAGGCCTACAGGTTTTTGCTCTTGAGTCATGTTCTTGCATAAAATGATACTGCAACTTCCCTTACTTATGCTGAAATTCCCTATCACCGGGTTTATATCTCACAGTTGATTCAATATCCAAGAGCATGCTCCCTGTATGAACAATTCCTAAAACAAGGCAAGCTATTGACAAACAAGTTGATGAAACAAGGATATCAAGAGTCTTGTTTGAAATCATCATTTCGCAAGTTATATGGTCAATACAATGACCTCGTCAACAAATACAATCTATCATGAAGTGGAATGCTGACGGACATTTTTCATATTAATTATTTAGCCTTTAATTTTCACACTGAAGTTTTTGGATTTTTCCATATGCCTAATCATGACGAGGAGCACATGGTGGGTGTTACTGGTCGACAGGGGATGCTTACTCCTCTTTGGCACCTGATCCCACTACTGAGGTTATCAGAGGTCCATGTTTGCTATGCTTAAGATTTGTATTGTTTTAGTGTTGTTTTTTTTTTAGCTTGATTACTGTTCTCCATATTTCATATTATTCAAGGGCTCTTTTTTTGAGAGGGGGGGGGTGCAAATCTATCCTCATACTCTAGTGAAATCTCATACAAACGATAGTGAAAAATATTGCATTAGAAAAATGAGTTCTATAAGATTTTCATAATTTCTGTTTTTCTGCCATAACAGGATGATGTTGTCATGGGAACGTTAACAGTCCGAGAAAATTTCCAGTTCTCAGCAGCTCTTCGTTTGCCTTCAAACTTGACAAAGGCAGATAGAGATGAGCGAGTTAATACAGTAGTACAAGAACTCGGCCTCACTCACTGTGCAGACACAAAGGTAAGTAAACAGCATCTCTGGAATAAAAACAACTCCAGTTGTTTAAAATAATGTAATGTTGACAGTTAGGAAATGAGTTTATACGTGGGGTAATGGATATACATAATGTTAATAAAATGTAATGTTGACACAATGACAGGTAGGAAATGAGTTTATACGTGGAGTGTCTGGAGGAGAAAGAAAGAGAACCAACATAGGAATGGAGCTAATTATCTCCCCTCCTGTCCTGTTCCTGGATGAGCCAACCACTGGGTTGGATGCCAACACGGCCAATTCTGTCATGTTGTTATTGAGAAGGTACTAAAACAATGACCGATTAGACCATTTTACTGTTTTAATTTTACAAATGTGTTCAAAATGTTATTTATCAGAACTTAAGAATTAGAGACTTTAATAGCAAATACATGTATATAAAACTAAAACTGTGGCTGATTGAGAGTTACCTTCCCTTGAGTGACTGAATTGAGAGAGAGATGCTTGGATGGAAACATTCTACAACTACAGCTCTAAGTTGATAAACATACAATTATATATTTTATAACCATTTATTATTAAGACAGTTATTTTGACCATTTTTATGTTGAGTAAATATTAGAAGAATTTTTTTAAAAGAGGTTAATTTTTGTTTACAGATTGGCGTTGAAGGGTCGGACTATTATCTTCTCTATACACCAGCCTCGTTACTCTATCTACAGACTTTTTGACACTCTTATGATGCTCTCCTTGGGAGAAGTTGTCTATCACGGCCCGACCAAGGACTCTCTGGACTTCTTCCAATCCATAGGTGAGACAATCTTTGAAAGAATTTAATACCTTGAATATAATCCATGGAACTGTGTATCTGTTTTTGTTCATTTAAGGTCAGATAACAGGTTTTTGTCCACAATATACATGTATAATTTTCCCAAAGAATTTTTCATTGAAGTATTGCTACTTTTACAAGTTTCCACACAAAAAATTGAGGTACCTTACCAGGCATTTGTGCAAGTTTTTGTAGTATTAAAAGTACATGTCATTTTCACACTGTTTACATAGTGAGGCCCAACTCAGAAAGGGTCTTTACATACTTCATCCTGTAGTTTCCCTAAGTCATTTCATTTATGTACATGGGTTAATAAATGTTGTGATCATAACCTGATAATGTCGTATATAATTGGATTCATCGATACTTTCTTCAGTCTTAGAATACTGCTTGTCAATTGACTCAAGTCTATTCCATTTATCAGTAGAATTACAAAAACTATATAAATAAAAAGGAAAAAAGGAAAAGTTATGCTTTATGTTTTATCAGGATATTTTGGGGGAAAATCCTGATATATCATGATACGAAATTTTTGTCAATACTGATCCCTAGTAAAAATAAAATAGCCTTCTTACTATATTATGCACATGTACTAATCTTGTGGGGTTTTTTTTTCAGGTTACACTATACAGGAACATAATAACCCACCGGATTTCTTCCTAGATGTTATCAGTGGAGACTTCAGTATCGACGTTGACACCTTAGACCCAGAAAAAACTACCACAGGTATAACTAATCTTATCATACAGACGGAAAATATCATGTAGATTAGCCTTTATACTTCATCAATGTAATGCATGGAAATTAAACATTTAATCACAATTTTACCCAACATTGTATTCTAACTGAACAGTACATCTTTGCCCTTATTGAAGTGATCCACTGTCAATATTATCAGTGTTGTAAGCATTTTTAGCTCACCTCAATGAAGTTGGAGAAGCCTATGTAGTACCCTTAGCATCGGTGTCCCAGTTTAAAGTTTTTGGAGCAGATTTCTTTTCAAGTACTTATATTCCCCATAATCGAAGATGCATGGAAGATGATTCTAGAATGTCTCATTGTACCAGTCAAGGTTTTAGATGCTTCAATTTCAGCTGTAGAATGACCAGGTTAATGTTTTTGAACCAGGTTTAAGTTTTTGGAGCAGGTCTCATTTCCAAGTAACTATAAGCTCTAAATTGATGAAACTTGCATGGATGATACATCTAAGAATGCAGAACACTGAGCTTGCTTCAATGATGGATCTGACATACATTTTCAGGATGAGTGACCAGGTTGAAGGTTTTGGAGCTGGTTCAATCTATAGTAACTATTTGGCCTACCTGGACCAAACTTGCATGGATGATAGATCTAAGGATGCACATTACTGGACTTGCTTTGAATGCTGAATTTGACCTACATTTTTCAGATGAGCAACCAGGGTAAAGTTTTTGGCAGTTTCTTCTAAAGTGACTATAGGCCCTATGCTAACCAACTTTGCACTGTAGATACATTTATTGCTGCACACTACTAGAGTTGCTTTGGATGCTGGATTTGACCTACATTTTCCAGATGAGTTAATAGGTTAAAGTTTTTGGAGCAGGTCCATGACCAAGAAATTATAAGGCCTATCTGAACCAAACTTGCATGGATGATGCATCAAGGAACGAATACTCTCAAACTTGCTTCAGATACTGGATTTGACTTACATTTTCTGGATGGGTGACTAGTTTAAAGTTTTTGGATAAGTCCATTCCCAAGTAACCGCAAGCCCTTTCAGACCAAAATTGCGTAAACGTTGCATCTAAGGATGCACACTACTAGATTATTAGTTTATTGTGGGACTTTGCCTTACTTAAAGACAACATTTGTTGAGGTGAGCTCTGTAATCTCTGATTACCTATGTTTTTTTTATTAACTTGATATTTTTATCATTGATTGATAATTTCAGGGAAAAAATTAGGTAATTCATTTTGTGTTTCTGGATAACACCCCCTGATTCTTAACACCCAGTTCACTTCCATTATCCCACAGTACCCACTTACAGATCCCCCTAAATACACGGCAGGAGAGGATACATGTCCAATGTGATCAATTTTGTTTGTTTTCATTCATTAAATGGATATGGGTTGTTTTGTGGTAAAAGATTGTTAAGGCATGAACTTGTTAAAAGTTACTTAAATTTAGTCCCCTACTTTGTTTGTCTTCTTTACTCTAATTATCCTCTGTTTTTTCAGTTTTCATTTGTATTTATATAAAATCTATTCACCAGTGATAATTTTGCTCATAACCTAACACCAAATCTTTATGATAAATGTGATGACTTAAACTTTTCCATCATCAACTTCCCTTATTTATGTAGCAATATACCCTTGTCACCTGCATATGTGTCTCCCAGTTGATCCGATATGCAAAAGCATGCTTTAGGTATGAGCAATTTCTAAAATGAGGCAAGCTATTGGCAAGTTGATGAAACAAGGATGTCAACAGTCTCTTTTGATGTCAACATTTTGCAAGTTCTTTGGTCAATACAATCTATCATTTGGTAGAATGCTGACTAGCGTTTTTCATACAAATTGTTAGGCCATTATTTACACACTGAATTGTCTATGGATTTTTCCGTTTGCTCAATCAAGGAGCAAATGTTAATGTGTCTGCACAAAGGGGATGCTTACTACTCCATGGCACCTGATCCCACCTCTGATGTTTAAGAGGTCCATGTTTGCTCTGCTGCCAATTTTTATTGTTTCAGTGGACTTTTGAGCTTGATTACTGTTCATTTTCTCCATTTTTCATTATTTTTACATCATAATATTATGTGTTCAGCTTATGAAAATACATACATGTATTCCATCATTTTAATCACATCTCTGTTCAATTTAAACATTTGAATAAACATATATTTTTATGCCCCCCCCTTCAAAGAAGGGAGGGCATATTGCTTTGCTGCTTTCTGATGGTTGGTCTGTTGGTCCACTAACAGTTTCCGTTCATTCTTTGCAGAGGTTGCACATACTAAAATGAAATCTGGTATACAGATTTATCATACAAATATCTAGGTCAACTTCTGTTTTGGGTACGATCGAGCAATTTTTGACAGAGTTATGCCCCTTGAACCTAGAAAAATTCCAATTATTTGGGGGGGGGGGGGGGGGGTGTTCTAAGTGTTTCACAAACATCTCTTGTTTCAGCATGTTTACCCCCACCCAATGTAACCAGGGTATATCAAGACTTTCTATTAAAAAAATCACATTAACCTGCACATTAACCTGCTCGACTGTGTCTGTACAATTCACCTTTGTATCCAGTTGAACATTTGTGGGAGTAACTGGACTGTAGACTAGAGGCGTCGGAATATCCCAGCCCCTTTTGATCAGCTAAGGGCTACCTTGTTTGAAAGGTTGGATAATATCCCTATGAGAAAGATAAATGCACCAAAACACTCCATGCACAGGAGTATGTGACTATGCGTAAGAGAGGCATAGGAAATAATGACTACATTTTCAATTTCACTTTTGTGGGGGTACTGTCAAATGAGTTTAACTTTCTCTTGAATTATTCGTCAATCATATGTTAACCTTTATGTGATTACAATAACACCTCCACTATTCTAATGTTAACTTTTATGTGATTACAATAACACCTCCACTATTCTTATGTTAACTTTTATGTGATTACAATAACACCTCCACTATTCTTATGTTAACTTTTATGTGATTGCAATAACACCTCCACTATTCTTATGTTAACTTTTATGTGATTACAATAACACCTCCACTATTCTTATGTTAACTTTTATGTGATTTAAATAACACCACCACCTTTCTTATGTTAACTTTTATGTGAATGTTATAACACCTGCACCATTCTTAAAACTTTTTATGTTATCACAATAACACCTCCATCATTCTATGTAAATGCATATCCTAAACTTATTAACTTTTATGTGATTACAATAACACCTCCACCATTATTTCATTAAATTTAATGTGTTTACAATTCCACCTCCTCCAATCATATGTTAACTTTTATGTGATTACAATAACACCTCCACCATTATTTCATTAAATTTAATGTGTTTACAATTCCACCTCCTCCAATCATATGTTAACTTTTATGTGATTACAATAACACCTCCACCATTATAATGTTAATGTTGTTGTGATTACAATAACAACACCACAATTCTTATGTTAAATTTTATGTAATTTAAATAACACCTCCACCTTTCTTATGTTAACTTTTATGTGAATGCAATAACACCTGCACCATTTTTATAACTACAATGTTATAACAATAACACCTCCACCATTCTATGTGAAAACAAAATCACCCCACCTTTCTTATGTTAACTTTTATGTGGATGCAATATATAACACCTCCACCATTCTAATGTTCAATTTTATATGAATGCAGTAACACCTCCACCATTCTATGTGAATACAATAACACTGCCACCATTCTTATTTATAGATGAGGAGGATGTTCATGGTATGCTTGTACAAAAATTCAGAGAATCAAATGTTAATGCAAAGTAAGTTTTGAATACAAATTTATGTTGTATGCCCTGCAAATTTTGGTTCACATCCTCTTAAATCAATGATTTTTTTATAAGGATGCTTAGTTGTGTTATGCATGATAATGTCAGTAATTGAGGATCATGTTGCTTATTGCAGAGTCCAAAGTGAAGTGATGGCCATTTATGATGAATATCAGTCCAAATTAGCAAGGAAAGAGTTGGTACAACTACCCCCTGTACAGTATAATACCTCCTTCTTTACACAGGTAAGAACACCAGTCATTTAACACAGCTAGGTAACTAAACATAATACAACACCTTACACAGGGAAGAACACCTCTCATTTTACACAGCTAGGTACATGTAACTAAAAATGAGGTGATACCACTGCCACCTGAACAATACCTCCTTCTTTACACAGGTAAGAACACCTCTTGCTTAACACAGCTAGGTAACTAAAAATAATTCAATGCAACACCTTACACAGGTAAGAACACCTCTCAACTGAGCTAGGTAACTAAAATTGTGGTGATACCACTACTGCCGTACAACACAAGACCTTTATAGCTCACCTCGACGAAGCTGAGATGAGCTTATGCTATACCCCTTGCGTTGGCGTCGGCGTTAGCGTTGGTCGTCCTGGTTAAAGTTTTAGGAGCAAGTCCATTCCCAAGTAACTATAAGCCCTACCTGGACCAAACTTGCATGGATGATGCATCTAGGAATGGACAATACCAGACTTGCTTTGGATGATGGATCTGACCTACATTTTCTATATGAGGCCTAGATAAACTGTGTGTTTCCGGTTCCCCGACCGACCCTAAAATATATGAGCCGACCCTGAAAAATTTTCCGCCGATATCTTTCCGGTAGTGAACAATTCAATTTTCACTATTAGAAATCCTAATCTCGATCACTTCCGTGTTTGAGAAAATGTACATCCTATACACATTAAACAGAAATGCCATTGGGGAAAAAGAAATGAATTCTTGGTTTTTACCATTTTGTTTATTGTGAAAGTTTAATTTTAACTAATAAAATTAAATAAAATGCAGTGATTCATTTTGAAAATGGTTATCATGGGTCCAAAGGACTCCTCTTAATGACAACAGTGAGTCCCGTGCCAAAATCAATGCGTCCAAATCCAAGGTGCCGTATATTAGATATCACAGAGGAAATTCTGGTGAAATAAAAAAGGGTATTGCGCGAAAGTGCAAATGTTTTATTGTAGTTGTGAGTGATTTATACTTTTACTACTAATTGTCCAAGTAAGAGAACATGATTTTGTGTCATAAAAATAATGTATTGTCCACTGTGCACATTGGTTCTATTTTTAGATCGAACATTGTATCAGTCATAAAATGCACAGAAGCAGAATGAAGTAAAAAAAAAGTTTAAGAAGAAATAACAAATGGTCAGAAATAAAAATGATTGAATTTTATACTTCTTAGTTGTAAGGAAAAAGACGAAAAGAAAAAAAACAATGATACAGGCTACAGCTTAAATACAAAGGTATAGTATTCGCTTCAGAAACGTTCCACGGTATAGACATTATCAGTGATAATCGAACTGTGCCATCTAACTTTCAAATATTTTCTGATAATTGCTTTTAACTACAGTTGTGAAATCTGACCTGTTGTTGGCAACCTTATACCTGTTAAAATCGTTTATGCATATCGCTTAGCACGTGGATATGATGCAATCAGTCAAGTTTTGAATCAGATTATACCGAAATAATTTTAAATAGTACATGTCCTTCTATAAATTTATTGCGTCCATTGGGATGCACATTTATTGAAATAATGCGTCCTGAGCAAAATTTGTGCGTAATTTACGCAGGACGCACACCAAAATGAATCACTGAAAATGATTTCCCTACCTACCTACCCTATTTTTTCTCGGGTTGGAATAGGAAACACAATATTTATTTACCTTGGTCTGACTGACCTGGTTAGAGATTTTGGGCAGGTCCATTCCCAAGTAACTATAAACCCTACCTGGACCAAACTTGCATGATGATGCATCTAGGGATGGACACTACCAGACTTGCTTTGGATTATGGATCTGACCTACATCTTTCAGTTGAGTGACCAGGTTAAAGTTTTTGGAGCTGGTCTATTCCCAAGTAACTATAAGCTCTACCTGGACCAACCTTGCATGGATGATGCATCTAGGGATACACACTTCCAGACTTGCTTTGGATGCTGGATCTGACCTACATTTTCCAAATGAGTGACCAGGTTAAAGTTTTTGGAGCAGGTCCATTCCCAAGTAACTATAAGCCCTACCTAGACCAAACTTGCATGGATTATGCATCTAGGGATGGGCAATACCAGACTTGCTTTGGATGCTGGATCTGACCTACATTTTTCAGATGAGTGACCAGGTTAAAGTTTTTGGACTAGGTCCATTCCCAAGTAACTATAAGCCCTACCTAGACCAAACTTGCATGGATGATGCATCTAGGGATGGGCACTACCAGACTTGCTTTGGATGCTGGATCTGACCTACATTTTCCAGATGAGTGACCAGGTTAAATTTTTTGCAGCAGGTCCATTCCCAAGTAACTATAAACCCTACCTGGACCAAACTTGTGTGGATGATGCATCTAGGGATGGGCACTACCAGACTTGCTTTGGATGCTGGATATGAAATACATTTTCCAAATGAGTGACCATGGCAATGTTTTTGGAGTAGCTCATTAATTATATGGTCTTTTATGATTTAACTTGCATGGATGATGCATGTAAGGATGGACAATTCCAGACTTGCTTTGGATATAGGAAATTAAAGACATTTTCTTGATTAGTGAACAGGTTAAAGTTTTTGGAACAGGTCAATTCCCAATGAACTACAAGACCTACTTACACAGAACTTGCATGAATATTGTTTTTAGGATGCACACTAACTATAAAGAAAATATGATGTGAGATTTGCATTACTTATACTGATAACATTCGTCGAGGTGAGCTTTGTAATCTTCGATTACCTATTTTTTACACAGGTAAGAACACCTGTTGCATAACGCAGCTAGGTAATTACTAGGTACCACTGTCACCTGAACAATACAAAACATCCTTCTTTACACAGGTAAGATCATCTCTTGCTCAACACAGCTAGGTAACTATATTGAGGTGGCACCACTACCGCTGTACAATACAAAACATTCTTCTTTACAAAGGTAAGAAGACCTCTTGCTTAACACAGCTAGGTAACTAAAAATAAAACACCTTACACAGGTAAGAACACCTCTTGCTTAACACAGCTAGGTAACTAAAAATAAAACACCTTACACAGGTAAGAACACCTCTTGCTTAACACAGCTAGGTAACTAAAAATAAAACAACACCTTACACAGGTAAGAACACCTATTGCTTAACACAGCTAGGTAACTAAAAATAAAACAACACCTTACACACCTATCAGCAGAACTAGGTAGCTAAAAATAATTCAATACAACACCTTACACAGGTAAGAACACCTCTCAACTGAGCTAGGTAGCTAAAAATGATACAATGCCTTACACAGGTAAGAACACCTCTCAACAGAGCTAGGTAGCTAAAAATAATTCAATACAACACCTTACACAAGTAAGAACACCTCTCAACAGAGCTAGGTAGCTAAAAATAATACAACACCTTTCACAGGTAAGAACACCTCTCAACAGAGCTAGGTAACTGAAAATAATTCAATACAACACCTTACACAAGTAAGAACACCTCTCAACAGAGCTAGGTAACTAAAACTGAGGTGGTACCACTGTCAATCACTACAACCCTTATTTTTACACAGGTAAGACATTACACCTAGGTGGCAAAACAAAATGTCACACCACAACCACCAACACTGCGCAACTTCTCTTCCTTAACATGAAACTTAATGAGAGTCATTACTTCTATTCGTAGAGGTCATTAATTGTAGGCAAAGGACAACTGCTTACAGTTTCTTGATTGTTTGATCTATAATTGAATACTGTAAAACTGAAGTTCACATGTGTGAAGGCTGCAAGAGAAGGGAGATCACAACACTTTTTTGTTATCATCCAGTACTTTAGTTGTTTTTGAATTCTAATCACAAATACAACTCATTTTCTTTCAGCTTTTGATCTGCTCAGGAAGAACAATTAAAAACATCGCCAGGAATCCCCAGACTTCTGTGATGCAGGTAAATGCTATTATTAGGTAGGACTGTTAGTAATTTACCTATGAATAGAATAAGATTTATGCATGCTGACTTTTGATTCCTGGCTACATACGCTCATTTAAAGCATCATTAATGGTTTTTTGGCCATTAAAACTTTTTTAAATGCAAAGAAGAGTTCATTAGTAATTGATTGATAATTTTAATAACAGTTTCAGTTAATTGCTCTTGATTTCAACTTTTTTATAAGGGGAGTAAGAAAATGTTATCCATTGAAATGAGGCTTCAAAACATCACTAGATTTTTAAATACTCATGGATATAGATAAATGACTCTTAAATCTCTCTGTTTAACTTTTGTAAAATTAAACATATAAGATTGATAAAGGGAAAATTATTTAGTTGTCATCTCATTTTAAATTGGTAATAAAATGAGCAATTTTGTTGTGTTTTGTCTTTATTTCTTAATAACAAGTCATAATACCTGTTAAAGAGATTTTTTGTTTCACACTGACAGGGGGAAGGATGTTTTAGAAATATTTTCACTTTTTCCATTCATTTCTACAGGGAAAAAACACAAGTTTTAAAAATTTTTAGAGTAATCTCTCTTTGTTTTCTTTTGTTATTTCTTTTGTTTTTGGGCTAAATTTGACCTGATATTTTTTGTCTTTTTTTTTTATTGATATATATATACCTTTCATTTGTTAAGGAATACATTTTTTGTTTGTAGTTATTTGTGATCCTAATTTTTGCTGCCATAGTTGGAGGAATCTATTGGCAAATAGAAAATGACTGTAAATCTGGGATTCAGAACAGGTAAGAACATACAACATAGGTAAACCTGGTAACCAGAACAGGTGTGTACATATAGCACAGGTAATCCTGGTAACCAGAACAGGTGTGTACATACAGCACAGGTAAACCTGGTAACCAGAACAGGTGTGTACATACAGCACAGGTAAACCTGGTAACCAGAACAGGTGTGTACATACAGCACAAGTATACCTGGTAACCAGAACAGGTGTATACATACTGCACAGGTAAACCTGGTAACCAGAACAGGTGTGTACATACTGCACAAGTATACCTGGTAACCAGAACAGGTGTGTACATACTGCACAGGTAAACCTGGTAACCAGAACAGGTGTGTACGTACAGCACAGGTAATCCTGGTAACCAGAACAGGTGTGTACGTACAGTACAGGTAAACCTAGTAACCAGAACAGGTGTGTACATACAGTACAAGTAAACCTGGTAATCAGATCAGGTGTGTACATGTTGTACATACAGCACAGGTAAACCTGGTAACCAGAGCAGATGTGTACATACAGTACAGGTAAACCTGGTAACTAGAACAGGTGTGTACATACAGTACAGGTAAACCTGGTAACCAGAACAGGTCAGTACATACAGCACAGGTAAACCTGGTAACCAGTACAGTTGTGTACATACCGCACAGGTAAACCTGGTAACCAGAACAGGTGTGTACATACAGCACAGGCAAACCTGGTAACCAGAACAGATGTGTACATACAGTACAGGTAAACCTAGTAACCAGAACAGGTGTGTACATACAGCACAGGTAAACCTGGTAACCAGAACAGGTGTGTACATACAGCACAGGTAAACCTGGTAACCAGATCAGGTGTGTACATACAGCACAAGTAAACCTGGTAACCAGATCAGGTGTGTATAGACAACACAAGTTAATAGGTGAATCCATTATAGGCATGTATACACAACAGAGGTAAACCAGGACAATCCAGAATAAGTGTATACACAAAACACAGGTAAACTAGGCTTATCCAGAACAGATGTGTAAATATTACATATTAATCGGGGGAAATGAGAGCAGTCCATTTGATATAAATTTGAGATGTGTATATTCATGTGTTCAATGTTATGTAATTACTCCATCTCCATCTATTATCTATTTGAATTATTACCTCTTACTAAAGGTATCAATTATAATGTTTTATGTATTTAAAAACAACTGTCTTTTAATAGTAACTTTATTTAGATTAAGTAAAAGCTTATTTTCCATCTGTAGTATGGCACGAAGTGAATATTTATCAGCATGTTCCATCATTTTATTTGCAGTTTGCTATAATTTATTTTTATGCAGAGTTGGTGCTTTCTTTTTCATTGTGATGAACCAAGTGTTTGGAAATTTGTCTGCAGTTGAACTATTTATCAAGGAGAGAGCCATTTTTATGTAAGAAGTATAATATAACAATACAGAGAAAGCTGAAATTCATTGCTTACCCAGACATTGGGGAGCAGCTAATGTATAGCTGAAACATATCAGCAATGATCTGATTCAGTTAATACTTCAATCTTGTAATGCTTTAAACCATAATGAATAAAAAGACAGGGATTTGATAGTTATAATTAGATTCTCTTGTTTACCAGGCATGAGAATGTGGGCGGGTTCTACCGTGTGTCAGCCTACTTTTTTTCCAAGATATTTTGTGATGTCATTCCGATGAGGTTGTTCCCAGTTGTCATTTTTTCTGCTGTTACATACTTTATGATTGGTGAGTATTTTATTCTGTTATATACTTTTTGATTGGTGAATATTTTATTCTGTTACATACTTTATGATTGGTGAATATTTTATTCTGTTAGTGTTACATACTTTATGATTGGTGAATATTTTATTCTGTGTTTCAATACATTCATTATTGGTAAGCTTTCTTCCTTTGTTATTGGTCATCATTCTCTATACATAAAAATTCTTTATGGACTAAACTAATAAGAAAAATAATGAATGAAATTTGAGTGGCATATCACACAGCAACTCTTGACCTTCAGGTTTCACAGCAGAAGTGGACAAGTTCTTTATCTACACTCTGAGTCTGTTTGCTGTTGCCATGGCAGCCTCTGGTTTGGCTTTCTTCTTCAGTGCCCTGGTTAAGATTTTTGCCATTGCCAACTTGTGTATTGCCTTGTGCTATGTTTTTATGATGGTAAGTATATAGCATTGCCTTGTGTTATGGTTTTATGATGGGAAGTGTATAACATTGCCTTATGCTATGTTTTTATGATGGTAAGTGAATAACATTACCTTGTGCTATGTTTTTATGATGGTAAGTGTATAGCATTGCCTTGTGCTACATATTGTATGTTTTTATGATGGTAAGTGAATAACATTGCCTTATGCTATGTTTTTATGATGGTAAGTGAATAACATTGCCTTATGCTATGTTTTTATGATGGTAAGTGTATATCATTGCCTTGTGCTATGTTTTTTATGACAGTATATGTATAACATTGCCTTGTGCTATGTTTTTATGATGGTAAGTGAGACTTAGGAATTATATAACAATATGTTATTTTGCATGTTTTATGCTGAAATGATAGTCAAGTTTTTGACAGGTTGTTCATGTCCTATAGGAGAACACACTGTGTATCAGAACCTTAATTATTATTTTACTGTAGTCCTTGTTAACCAAGCCATTGTACTGTTATACATCTATAAGGTTCATGGTCTATTCCTAACATAGTATAATACATAAGGGGAAATTCTGGTAGCAAATGTATAATACATAAAGGGAAATTTTGGTAGCAATCTATACATGTATTTCATATCAGAAATGCTCCCAAAAAAAGATAGAAAAGATGTACATTTTCTACTGACTTGTAATAATGGATGATGATGGGCCATGTTTAGTGGTATTAATATTCAAACATCTTCAGATGATGTAGATTCATTTTTTTTTCAAATTATTACCCCTGGGGGTAGGTTGGGGCCAAGGTAAATGATCAAAGAAAGAAATTTTTAAAAAAAACTACTTGTAAAGGGCAGCATGGTCATAATTAGTCATAATAATTATGCAAACATCCTCAGGTAGTGTTGATTCAGGAATATTCCAATCCTGACCCGAGGGGTTTGGTTGGGACACTGTTCTGAAAAAACAGCAGGGCCAAGGTGACTCATGTGAGTGTTTTTGTCCATAGGCCTCTTGTTTTAATTCATGCAACTGCAAACAATGTTTAAATTTGGATTGAATTTTTCAGGTGTTCAGTGGTCTTCTGATCAACATAGCCTCCATTGCAGAATGGCTGAGATGGATTAAATGGCTCAGCATTTTCAGATATGGTCTCAATGTAAGAACAATATCATGCTTCTGTCAAAGTTTTTACCTCTACTTGACAAAGATAAGAGTTATAGTTTATCATTAGTAAAGTCTCCATCATCTGCCTATTTAGCTGTTTGTAATTTATGGCTCCCCTTGATGATGAGCTTATGATTTACAAGTCATTTGCATGTCAGTTCAAAGTTTTAGGAACAAGTCTATCCCCATTGGTCAAGTAAATTTTAGCCCTACCTGAAACTTGCATGGAAGATGCCTCAGTGATGCACACTACCAGACTTGCTTCAAATGTTAGATCTGGCCCTACCCTCACAATACTTCCTTTAGATGCTGCATCTGACACACATGTATGTATTTTCTGAATGAGTGACCAGGTTTAAGTTTTTGTAGGAGGTCCATTCCCAAGCAAGTCCTACCAAGAGCAAACTTGCATGGATGTTGGATCTAGGGATGCACCCTACCAAAACATTCATTTGGTTTGAGACTTTGCTTAAAAATATTATTTGTTGAAGGTTTTTGACTTCCATGAACACTGTTAGCATAATACCTAAGAGAAAAATGTTTGTTTATGATTACATGCTAATAAAAGGTAGGGTAGGTAGGTGAGATTTGGGGTTTTTTAAAATTCTTTTTTTTCTTAAAGGATTAACTTTGACATACATTTTTCAAAGACAGGTTGAAGCTTTCTCCTTCTAACAATAAAATGTACCAGATGGCTCTAAAAGCAGCTACTTAAAGTGCTTTTTTGTGTTATAAACCTTTGTGTTTGAAAGGAAGGTATAGAGGTACAATTTCAAGATTTTACAAGAAAAAAAATATTTTGGTCGGCCCAGAACCATAAAGTTAACATTTTTTTTCTTAGGCCTGAATCTAATTGAAGAGAATTTCAATTGCTGTTGATGTTTTTCATTAATACATGGAATACATAGTTATTTTGTGTTAATCTTTTGTTTTAAGGCCCTGAACATTAACGAGTTGAAAGACAAACACTTTGACAACAGCACTGTGTGGTAAGTACAAAGGAATCTGATTTTAATTAGGAATGATAATGAAGTCTGTGTAACAACTCTACAGTAATAATTTGTTGTTTCAGTGGGAACGAGTATCTTAGTGAGCAGGGGATTGAATACCAGACAGACTTTGATCTCTGGCAGAACATCATGGCTTTGTTAGTGTTTTCTGCCTTCTTTTTAATCCTAACTTATGTAAGGCTGGCCACAATGAACAAGCTAAAATAGTCCACACAAAAGACAAAAAAAAATCAAGTTAAAATAGTCATCATCACAAAAGACCAAAACATGGAGTGTGTCTGAACATGCATGTAAAAGACTGGAATGTCAAAGATGAGATAATGTGTAAGAAAGAGACCCTGGTTAGATTGTAAAGTATCTTGTATGTGCCAATTTTTTTTTAAATAACCATGTCTATTTCTTTCTTGGATGTGTTGCTTTATCATAGAAAGTAAGGAGCTATTGGTGGGTACAATTTTCTGTAAGAGCTGTTTTTAGTAGTTTAGATTTTCTACAGTATATGTGTTTTATGAATAAGGACGATGTGAGTTTTAAAGTTTGTTATTAGACAATCAGACCAGGTCCTCAATTATATATGTCGATCAAGCAACAGGGACTTTTAATTTTAAGTATCAGGCATTTGTCACATTCCAGTTTAAAGAACTCAGTGCTCATAAATAAGAATTTGGGAGGTACCAATTCAAAACCGAAAATTTATACCAGAGCATGCATTAAAATCCTTTGCATTATTGTAGAATTCTTGGACAGAAGACAATTTAACCATTACAGAAAGTAAGCTGTAGATATATTACGGTACATGTTTGTAACTTGCCAGTTAAAGACAGATGATACAAATTTTTTTTCAAAAATCATGAAAATAACAACTAAACAATGTTTATATATAAGTAAAATGAATAATTCTAACCACATAGATTTAATTTAACAGTAATGTCCTACAAAGTCATGGAAAGTTCTATAGATTCATAAGGGTGATGGCAAAAAAAGTATAATTTTGAGTATCATAGAGATTGCAATTTCTTTATATTTAGAAATTTAATATTTGCATTTACAATTAAATAAGTCCAAAAATGTATATCAATCCAGGCATCCGGGTTTTTTTGTGTATCATCTGTCCTTAAGTTTAAACCATTACAATAAGTAAGCTCTAGGTATGTTATGTAAGTAGTTAGAGAGTAGAATATTGTAGCTTTATAGTCCTTAGTATTGTAGTATTATAACACAGATATGTATACATTAATACTTATTGGTCATCAACTGAACATGTGATAAAAAATCCGGTTTTGTACTTTTCACACATTATTGTATTTTTATACATTTCCCCCAACAATTTTACTTTAAGATCAAATGAGAGTAAAGGTTAAAGAATAGACAGAAAATAATGTATGTCTACTACTAAAATATTATTTCTACACATATCTATAAGTTTTAAGTGCTAAGTGTGCAATCTGCAGATTGAATTTCTGTTTAAAAGTTTATAACATACATAGTTTCAAATACATGCACTGGTTATAAATGGGATCCCGAGTGCATGACCTTTTATACATTGAATAGCATAGTATGTATATTATCATGGTTTAACAAACCATTTTAATTGATACACAAGTTACCATACATGACGAAACATGTGTGAATATTGTTGTACATGTAAAGTAACTGTACCTTGCCATATATTTGTATTGTTATACAAAAATATTGTTAATTTTGATAATTAATAATAAAATTGATTTAATAAAAATTGGTTACCAAGTGTTAAGCTGGTGAGAATCTTGAGATTTGGGGACAAAGAGAGTGTCTTAGTTAGGTTTAAGAAGTATTTAATCACGATATACCACAGGCACTTGTTTCTGTAATAAATTTTTGACCCATAGTATAATAATAACCAGACAATACAATGTCCACACAGAATTCAGAACACCATATCCAATTAAGCACACTATGTCCACACAGAATTCAGAACACTATGTCCACACAGAATTCACATTCTCCACTTGTTCTAAAGATCACTGGGCCATTTTCAACCAAACTTGCCCCAGTAAATCAGTTGTGGATACTAAAAAATTCCAAGGAACTTTTGGAACATTGGAAATCACAAAATTTTACCAAAATCAACAACATAAAAACTTGCGACTTTTCAACTTTATATACAAATATTCCCCACGATAAATTAAAGTCCAGACTTTCTGACGTCGTTGACAGCTGCTTTTTCAATAAAAATGGAACTCGTAAATTTACTTACCTTGTCATTGGTCATTTGCAAAATTACTTTGTTAAAAAATCAATCTGATTGTACACAGAAGTACTCTGAAGTTGACATTAAAAATATGCTCGAGTTTCTGATTGACAATATCTTATGTGGTTTTTGGAGACCAGGTCTTCCAACAATCTATTGGAATTCCCATAGGTACCAATTGCGCCTCGTTATTAGCAGACCTATTTTTGTGTTCATATGAAGCAGAATTTGTTCAAAATCTTTTACGTGAAAAGAAGAAAACACTTGCTGTGGCCTTCAACTCGACATTTAGATATATCGACGACGTATTGTCAATTAACAATGGTTATTTCCATTCTTATGTCGACACGATATATCCCGGTGAGCTTGAGATAAAAGATACCGCAGATTCTGACACACTGTTTCATATTTGGATATTTTATTAGAAAAAGACGTTAATGGTAATCTAACAACAAAGCTTTATGATAAACTTGATGACTTTAACTTTTCAATCGTCAACTTCCCTTACTTATGCAGCAATATACCCTTATCACCTGCATAAGGGGTTTATATCTCTCAGTTGATTCGGTACGCCAGAGCATGCTCTACACATGAACAATTTCTAAAACGAGGTAAATTATTGACAAACAAGTTGATGAAACAAGAATATCAGCAATCTCGTTTAAAGTCATCATTTCGTAAGTTCTATGGTCGATACAATGACCTTGTCAGCAAATGCACTATCATTAAGTCAAATGCTGACTGACTTTTTTCATACTAATTGTTAGGCCATTATTAACACACTGAATTGTCGACGGATTTTTCCGTTATTTCCCGATCATGACAAGGAGCACACGGCGGGTGTGACCGGTCGGCAGGGGATGCTCACTCCTCCATGGCACCTAATCCCACCTCTGATGTCTTAGAGGTCCGTGTTTGCTCTGCTCCTATTTTGTAATGTTTAATGGACTTTTGAGCTCGAATACTGTTCGTTATCTCCATATATTTCATCATTGGGTTAAGAGGATTCATGTTTGTTCAAATGAAGGGCCACACACTCTTCCACGGGGAGATAATTAAAAATTAGTGAAAAATTAATGACATCTTCTGAAAATTTTCTCAAGAACCACTGGGATAGGAAAGATGAAACTTATGTGGAAAGATTCTCAAGTAGTGTAGATTCAAATTTGTTCAAATCGTGACCCCAAGGAGTAGGGCGGGGCCACAATGGACGATCAAAGTTTTACATACGAATGTATTGGAAAAATCTTGAAAAATATTCTTTTTAAGAACAGCAAAGCCATGATTGGTCATTTTATATGGAAGCATCCTCAGGTAGTGTAGATTCAAGTTTGTTCAAATCATGACCCCCGGGGGTAGGGTGGGGCCACAATAGAAGATCAATCGTATAGGAAAATTTCTTGAAAAATCTAGCCATGATTAGCCAAATAAATATATAGAAGCATCCTCAAGCAGTGTAGATTCAAGTTGTTCAAATCATCCCCTCTGACCACTTATATATAGTTAAACTTTTCAGTACTAAACTGATTTCTGCTTTTGCCTATCTTAAGTGCTAAGGTGAGCGATATGGTCTATGGGCCTCTTGTTTACAACATCCACACAACACTCAGCACACCATGTCCACACAGAATTCAGTACACCATGCCCACACATAGGCCTACATGTAGTTACATATTAGGGTCAGACGAGACTTTCCTCAATAATATATATTTTTTCCCAAGATTTTGACCTATTGCTACTTTGACAAGTTTTCTAACAAAAAATCAAGATGCATTAATTACCAGGCATTTGTGCTAGATACCAGAGGATGGTATTTCCTTAATAATCTTATTAGATATTACTCGAATTACTAATATCACAGTTTCGGTGTTTATATTTTCTAGACACATTTTGAAAATAGTTTAGAAATCACAAGATAACAATAATTATGCTTTGTTTTTGGAACGTTACAAAGAGATACAAAATTTAATAACCATCCCTCTGTCTTCTCAATGACGTCATTTTTCTGATTTTTAACTTAACACAGGATTCTCGAATCAAGACTCGATATAAACTTGAACTTTTATTTTCTCCTACACAGTCTATACTAAAAAGTCTCACACGACTTGCGTTGTCCGGTAAGTAAATTCTTGGAGTCTACTGATTTTAACTGAGTTGTCATTCTTAGACAATCATGGTAATATTCACGGAAGGAATTTATCTTAATAATGTTTGATTATTCCAATAGATTTATTAATGTTTTTGTAATGATAATGAGTTTTATATTTATTTTGGTCATCTAATGATTAAATATTGCAAGATAATCATGTTGCTGAACAGTAGCAAAAGCTAAATGTTATATCCTGAACATATAGTAAAATAGACAAGTAAATTCAAATATAACTCATCACTTTAACTGTTTTGGGGATAACATTGTTTTTCGTTAAATATAGTAAAATTAACAAGTGATTTCAAATATCATAACTCATCACATTAACTGTTTTTTTTTTAAATATTTTTTTAAGAAAAGAGACAAAGCCTTTTGACTAGCCAATTTCAGACAGTCATCTTGCTTGCAAAGATGGGCGCAGTGCATGGTTGTCGGAGACATTGAGTCGCTGGTTGGTTTCTCCAGACTGGGTTGCTTCCAGGATGCATATGACTGGGCGAGCCTAAAAGTCGTCAGCTTATATTTACGATATCTATACTTGACAGACTGAAATGCAGAACAAGTAAGTAAAAACTTCTACTTCTTTAAGGTGGTTCAAATTGCTTATAGGCTTCTTGATATCATAAACAATAAATATTGAACCTGGGAATTTTCATTACTTGTGATTGATTGATTATCTACCAAATTACTTTTTTTAAAAAGTCATTCTGATTCTTTGCACAAGTACAGGTGTTATTACACTAAAATTTGAAATTAAAAAGAATGCTGGATTTCCTCATAAACAATCTTTGCAGTCTTTGAACACCAGATATCTTCTAATAATCTGTTGGAGTTCACATGGGGAAATGCTGTGCTCCTTTATAAGCTGACCTATTAATATTATTTTTTTTTATGAAGCAGACTCTGTTAAAAAAATTCTACACGTGAAGGTACCGTCAGAGTTGCTCAGTTGGTAGAGCGCTCGCTCTTTAATCGGAAGGTCGTGGGTTCAACCCCGGCCGCGACTGACCTAAGTCGATGGAAAACAGGTAGCAACCATTCCTTCGCCACGCGTTCGGCACTTTCTAGTGAAAGTTGCGGGTCTTTCGGAACTGGTCACAGAAGGCGTTTGCACGATAAAGATTCCTCACTGGTCAATGGCCCTGAGTGCCGTGTAAAGGTCTAAATTTGAAGCCCTTCACTGGTACATGGTGACGTCTCTATATACCGATAAGTAAAAAAAAAACTCTCGAACGGGACGTAAAACAACACAATCAATCAATATAGATGAAAATGAGAAAACTTTTTTCGTGGTCTTCAATCCGCATTTAGTTATATATATGACTTTTCATCAGTTAACACTTTTCACTTTTCAATTAATTTTTAAATTGAGGCAGGCTACAAACACCTATCCCTTTGGTCTTTCTACGGTCCGTGTTTTGTCCTGTTCACGTTCGGTATGATTTTCTTTGATATTGATAATTGTTCGTTATCTTTATCTTTTTCATTTACTACCCTACTACAACGTAATATAATCTCCAAACACAGCCAGTGTATTGAGAACTATTCAATCTTGTCCGTGGTGTAAAGACAATTATGAAAACTCCCTCACTTAACCATCACTCATATGACACCTGTCAATTTTCCGGCATGTATAGAACCACGTGATCTCCTCTTGTGGGCAGATTTATCCTTGTACTGGAATCCTGTAGATCACGGGTCTTAACATTCATATCACAGGCACAAATGTTATTGAAACATGCATTGTACCTTCACTTTCTTTATAGATTTAAACATTTTTTTTATTCTCCGGTATAATCAGGTATACATGGCGATACAGCCGAATGATAATAGATGCTAAAGTTTCAAATAGAGTTTGTATACATAGTATATGCAAGTTTAATTTCAAACGACTTTATATGTAACAAGGCAAAAAAAAAATTAGATTTTTTTTAAAAAATTCTGAAAATAATTTCCTTTTCAGTGATTTGTAAAAATGCAATTGAAACTTTCTCATTACAAAACATTATTTTTTTTTAATTTTGTTCCACAAGTTTGGAATCAATAAGAAATTAAACCTTCTCTTCTACTCTTGTTTGACATTGACTACTGCGTACTGGCAACTGATGTTCCACCTACCCTGTCGAGGAATATAATAATTAAACTGACTTCACAGGATGTTAAGCTTGTTATGCCGACTTCTATTGCTTTTTTTTATAAACATGATAAATGCGCTTTCTCAGGTTTTTTTAAGTACACTTATGCCACATGGCATTTAATGTTCCTTGCAAAAGTGAAACAT